GATTGCGGCTACTTGTTCTTCTTCTGCTACTAGTTCGGTCGGTCAGTCGCCATCGACTTTGAAACAAATACAGTGGTGCCTCGCATAACGAACGCCTCGCACAGCGAACGCTGCACACAACGAACTTCCTTTTCGTTCATTTCACGATTCATAGAATTATTTTTTTAAACATGTATTGTTATGGGAAAACGCATTTCACATAACGAACTTTTCGCATAACGAACTTGCTCCTGGAACGAATTAAGTTCGTTGTGTGAGGCACCACTGTACCTTGTTTCAGCTCATTTCTTCTTTTTTTTCTTTCACTCCAAGCAATGTGCAATACGCATTAGTATGATATACGCATGGATGTGTAGACTAGTTCCATTTTTATAAAGCCGTCTGGACTATCCGAGATCAAAGAGAATTAAGGCAGTATTGCGCTTTTTACTGCACATGGATTTAAGTCAGTACAAGGTGGTACTTATAGATACCCAATTGAACTCATTTTTTATTAAATTTTACAATACGCAATCCAAATGAACTATTTTTTATTGAAATATAATTAAAATTGATTCTATTTTAAGAATTTTTACATTTCCTACTATTTAACAAATTCCTTACTTAACAAGTTCAATATTGTAAAAATATGATTTCATAAATAAATATATTTCTTTATAAAATAAACGATTCAATATTGATCTTATAAATATATATTTTTCTTAATTTACTATGTTTTCATATGAAACATACAATGTCTATATATAAAACAAACTCTTAAATCTTCATTAAAATCTTGTCGTAAAATGTACAATATATTAAATTCTAATTTTCTGAAAATAAGCCACATTGATTAACATCCTACGAACTTATTGAGTGAGGAGTTCGTAGGATGACCAATAAAACAACAACTTTTGGGCAATATTCGACTTTATTCATGAACATAGTCTCCTTCAAGAGTGATACATTCATATCAACGCTTCTCTAACCTTTCGATACCTTTCTTGTAGAACGATTTATCTTTAGCCTCAAAATATGGCTTTCACCCATTGCTGTCTACTCAGCATTATTACACACCCTTGGTCTGAGAATGTATCTCAAATTATTTGCAACGTAAGCAATATTTATGTATCTCATCCACTTGAATCAACAAATCAGTGTGTCCTTTGACAAGGTCGCTCCCTCAGCCACCCTTATCGAAATTGATGATGGCCAATACACCTAACGCATGGAGATCCAACTACCCGCCGAGATGATTCCGTGGATCACTCTTCCAACGCCTCACCGAAGACCTAACTGATAAACTGCCCTCAAACCCTATCTTTTTATATTTTCATCTTATTTTTCATCGTTCCAGCTCATAGTATATAAGCAACCCCTAGTATTTAAGCATTTTTTTTATTATTATTACTTTCGTAATGATTTATACATCTTCTTTTTGTTCTGGCTAGATGAGCGAAAAGCTCCCATATAGGTCACGCCATAACAACAACAACAACAATCTTCTATGTACGACCAATTTTATTCTTGAGTGTAGTGGTGGATCCAGGTTTCACCCTGGATTAGAGCTTAAACGCGGTACCCATTTCGAACAAAGCTTTCTCATGATCGAATGTTCATGCAAAATGGTGAATGCACTCGACCATCATTTCACTATCATTTGTGTCTGTAAGACTACGTTTAAACTCAGCAAACCACATCTCTACCATTTGTCTCGATGGAGAAGAATCCCCATAACACTTATCAAGCCATTGCTTTGGTTCAACGGTATTGCTTCCTATCAAAAAGTAATATTTTATCAGCAAACGAAATTCAGATTTTTCCATTGTTTTGAAAATTACAAAAGTAGCATCACTAAAACCATTGTAAATTGTGAACAAAAAGTGAGATTGTCATGAAATTTTGACAGGCATCGTTTAAAGGTTGGTACTTCCTAAAAATCATATGGATTTTGCGATAGAGGCTCCATGTCATCCTACGAACATATAATGATATTCATTTTACTACTTTTTTTTATTTTTATAAAAAAAAAATAATCTTAAAAACAGACAATATTCTTTGGATATAAAATAATTCAAATCAATAATAAATATTATTCAAATCAGTCGGTTATATCGGTTAATATATTTGTTGAATATAAATGAAATTAGAACATAAATTATTTTAATAATGACTTTTGCACTATTATGAATTATGCAATAAATTGGACATTACCTGAAAATTATTCACAACGTAAGCAATATTTATGATCGAATATGATTCTACAAGCGAAATCTTCAGTAAACAATTTGAAATAAGATTGGAATTCAATGGATTCGTAAAATCAATCAAACCTACAAGTCTCTTTAAAATTTAAAGAAATTTTAATAATCTAACATATTTCTCTTAGATCATTAAAATTCTTTTACAAATTTTATTTTTTATGTTATTTAAAAAAAAAAAATGTAAAAATGTTGATTCAATACAAATATATTCAACTAATGCAATTTGCATTACAAAAATTGAATGTAAAAGTTTCATTTTACGACCCAATTTAATCTAATTATGTGGATAATACGTGTAAATTCTTTAAAAATTAAGCAATTTTCATTGATCAAACAAAAACATGTTTTTTTCTCAATTAATCTGAATTAATGTATACAAAAAAACCGACAGACCTTGTCCAACTATAAAACGATCCCAATGAAATCTTCATTAAAAATAGCAAAACGAGATTCCGACCGACATCAACTGATTGATTTCAATTGCTTCGAAGCGAATTATGTTCTGAGAGAAGTTTACTAAACAAAAAAATTTACGTCCATTATTTATTACTCTCTGTCCGAATGTTCTCATCGCGCATTGCAAAATTCGCCTTCTTCGAATCGGCGAAAAGTTCGCAATTGCCTGCTCCATATGTCTTTCTTTGCTTTTGTTTTAACATAAACAATTATCTCTTCCAATTAGATTTCAATGATTTCATTATTTAGGTCAGAGCCTGCTGTATCGCAAAATAACAACAACAAAAAAAAAACACAAACCGTTGGAATCGACTGCCGCTCGTTTCTTTAATGGCAAAGTAAACAGCACTTGTTTACTAAATATTGCTATTTTTGTGATAATCGTATGTTATCTAATTTTTCTAATTGACAAAAAAAGATAATATTGTAACATTATGTAACATTTGATTCTTTAATTAGTATTTTTTTTCTAAATTTAGAGATAATAATAAATGGGATTGGTCAAAAACTATATAAATTATATAATAATGATTAAATAAGCAAATCTATTTTTGTAATTTGTAATTTTTGTAAATGTAATTAGCGTTAAATTTTAAATGATGAAAATATGTGTGATTTCAAAATAGTCTTCAGATTTTTGGTAATTTTGATTATTAGAAATGATAGAACAATGAGAAAATATGATAATCAAACTTGAAACTACATAGATGCACTTATTATGTATGATTTTTTAATTTTCCTGTAACTATAAGTGAAAATTGAATCAATTTAAAATGTGATCTATTAGATTTAATTTAATTTATCAAAAACCACGGACAATAAAAAATAACTAATTATACAAAACAAAGCTAAAACTATAGGGATTAATTGTATTATATTTGGCTATTTGTGACATCTACAATTTTTGTGTAATTAAATGTCAAACTTGAAACAATGAAATATTTGGTCACAAACTGTAGAGTCCTTAGATTTTATTTAATTTCTCAAAAAGTATGAATGATAGGATAATGAATAAATATACATTTTAAAGCTAATACTATAAAGATTAATTGAGTTATATTTTATTGTTTGGGACATCTCCAATTTTTGTGTAATTAAGTGCTAAACTTGAAACAATGAAATATTTGGTCAAATAATGAAGAGTGCTTAGATTTTATTTAATTTCTCATAAAATATGAATGATAGGATAATGAGTGTGTATGCATTTTAAAGTTAATACTATAGGGATTAATTGAATTATATTTGGTTATTTGTGACATCTCCAATTTTTGTGTAATTAAGTTTCAAATTTGAAACAATGAAATATTTGGTTACAAACTGTAGAGTCCTTAGATTTTATTTAATATCTCAAA